CGCCGATAAGGGGGGCTTGGCGACCGGTTCATTAGCAGCCACAACGGGGCAGGCCGTTTCGAGGGCAACCACCTCAGGTGTGACCGCTTCAGTACCAGCGGTAATGAAGAGGCAACTTGTTAAGGAACGATTTTCGATGTTTTGGCCATTGTCATCTGAGGTAGTGTTTGAAAATTTGAGAAAAAAATGCAAAGTTTCAGAAAAACAGGTCTGGAAGATGAAGAACAGAGTATGAAGATTTGAAAAAATTTAGGATAGAAACCTGGAGATTGCTATGGAGATTGAAGAACAAGGATGAAGATATGAAGATTTGAAGAAGGTTTTGATAATGGTTGGAAAGCTCGAAGATAGCGGTTTGATCGGAAAGAAGAAAAAAAACAAAGGAATGAGGCTTTTATTGGGAAACAACCGACGCTTCTCATTCGGAGGCAACCTGCCGGTGACAGTCAGAACAACGCGATTTATGGGACGTTTTGGCTCCCCGTCGTAACGTACGAAGGAAGGAACCGGAGTCATTTGTCGTATTCCATCATTTCGGCAAGCCTACTCTCTGAGAAACGAGGGGACTATCAATATACGGGTAAAACCGAGCCCACTGCATGACTCGACTTCCCGGTGAGCTAAACGGAGCAGGAACGTGACCGTAATGGATCAGAGTTAGAGCGAGGAGCCCCTCGTATCGGGGCTCGGTCAAAACACCTGCCCTCGGGGATATCAGGACCATATTCTCCGGGTCCGATTTGAGGATTGAGACTTCGAAGAGTATTACCAAATAGCTGCGCACGACTAACAAAGGGTCGTGATGTCCGTGCCTAGCCGGATATCACGACATGAATCTTAGCCCATATCGGCTGAAAATCAATGATTAACGAAACAGAAGATTTTTACCCTTTTTAGAATTGTACTTAGGGTAAAACTCTCCTACTATATAAATGGGAAAGCTTATTATTCAGAACACACATTGTAACACGCATATCAAGGCAATTTATTTCAATTCTCTTTGTTGTTCAAAATTCTTATTCTTGTTCTTAAATTCTTCATAAGTTTAAGTTTGGAATGGAGGGCAGGTTCTTCATCGAGCCATCAACCGAGCCCGGAATCACCGTTATCATTGGTTTGGTCATCTATTATATTTTTTATTTGTTTAATCTAACGCTATTAATCACTTGTATTGAATTAATCCACATATCCTTAAACCCACATATAAATTCAATTACTATCCATTTTTAAGGGTAAATAATGTGGGATAACAATTTCGAGATCACTAGTTCCCGAATAAAAATAACAAAATAACATATTTTCCCTTCTATATAGATGGCTTTTCTTTCAAAGTTTTCTAAGAAAGACAAGGTTAAAATTAAAAATGAAAGTTATCTCAATTTATCTAATTTAAATCAAATATATATTTTATATTTTACCTTGTATATTCTATTTTAGTCAATAAACCAAATATTTGCCAATAAAAGTATATCCTCTAAGTATCATGTTATTATTTCATTGCTAAATTATAACCACGCCATTATAATCCCGAGATAACTTGTTCCGGATTAAATGACCCCTAATGTTTTAAGTTACCATAGTGAACTAACTATAGACAGTTGCATGTAATTCATGTAGTCCAATTTGACCCGATTAGATGTCAATATATATAAGTCAATCTAAGTTAAAAAAGTAAAACAGTGAACTGATAAGACATTCATTTAAAGCAAGGGAACCAGGGATTAAAAGATTGTCCGAATGAACTAGTACTTGAGTCGTCCTCAAACCTTTAACTACGACATTGATATCCAACTCCTACTGGTCCTTTGTACAAAACATTCCCATAGCTAGGCCTACAACTTCATTAATGCTACCTCTACACTCAACTTCAGTGCCAGATACAATCGACACTATTTTACAGTCACAGGTGTAGTACTCTTGGCCAGATTTTCAATGCTCAACACTAATTGACACCTTGAGCAAATTCCACATACATCCGGTAGATTCATTTAGGGGTGTTCGTTGGTCGGTATAATATGGTATTTAGATATTTCGGTTCGATATTTTCGGTATTCGATTTCGTAAAATACTATACCAATACCGTACCTAATAAAATTTGGTATGGTTCGGTTTTTCTCCTTTCGGTTTCGATTTATTCGGTTCGGTAACTTTGGTTTATTCGGTTTGAATACTAACTAGTGCATAGAGTCATAAACGGTAATATACTCAAAAGTACAAAACTAAAAATGTTTGTTGACAAAAGTTTTGTCCAAACCCAGCAAATACCAACCTAGCAAGAGAAAACTTAGAGAAATATCTTGTTACTTGCTTAGGGTTAATTGATGAATCTAGAGAATAAAGGAAAGTAAAATTTTAGATTTCTTATATTTAAATTATAATTAATAAAATATGTATTGTGTAATATAATATATATTTCGGTACGGTATCGGTATTTCGGTATTTCATTTTAAAATATCAAATACCATACCTAGTACCAATTCTTTTTTAAAACTTAAACCAAATACCATACCGAATACCAAAATTTTCGGTTTCGATATGGTAATTCGGTATTTACCAAACTATGCACAGCCCTAGTCGCACTTGCACAAGAAAAATCCACTGACTCTTTTGTGATTAAATATTTAGTTTCATGTCTTCTTCCTGCAATTAAGGCCCTAGCACTTTCACTATCTTCTTTATAACTTTGTTGACAATAACCCTCATGGCTGCGACTGATATTTACTTGACCTGTAGTTTCTTTCTTTAGCGTAATTCATATTGGAAACTGAGAACGTCCAAACCTCCAGATTAGGTAAGTGTTTATAGATTATGTTACCAGGAAAGCACAAGTTGAAAGGGTAAGTCACCCAGGAATTAACCACCATAACATTTACATGATATTGGCCGTTTTTAGCCAAATTAAATTTCGCACAGTTTTCCTCCTTATCTTTACCCTCTATATGTAGCTTATTTACCTTATTAAGGTCGAATTGTTATACCTTTTTTTTTTTTTTGATAACCGTGGTGTTCGGGCCAGCTTGCGCGCACCTCGACTAATTCCACGGGATACCTGCCACCCCCCACCAGCAACATGTACCAGGTAACTCTATCCACCAAGGCTTGGATAGATGGGAAGAAATCACCTAGTATTTGCCTCCGCTGAGATTTGAACCTAAGACCTTAAGGTTCTCACCTACTTCATTGACCACTAGGTCACACCCTTGGGTGTGATACTTTTTTCATGACTCAACAATCTTCATCTCAAACTAAGTATTATATTGTCTGTCATAAAGATTTATGGACTTATCAGAAAATTCACTATGTGTCACCATTATCATATGAGTATTTATGGCCTACAACCGGCCATAGGCTTCTTCTTACGTCTACGTTTCCAAACTAAAGGCAAAGACCGTAGCATAAAAAGTTATTTTTCACCATCTCTATACTTGTTAAGTCGAATCATTAGCTTTAATATCAGTTATTAGATTCAGTCAGTCCAAAGGCACTCTTAACATTATGTGATCTGTTTTTTTTTTAGATCAAGAATACACAAGATTTTTCAAAAAGTTTCACACAATTAAAAGTATCTCTAACATGTCACATGTAACTTTTTTTTTTTTTTTTACTTACTTTTTGTTTGCACACGAAACACAAGGATCTCTTGGTTTGCTTGATTTATTGCAACCATATTTTCAGCATAGACGACTGTTTGGTGAAAACGAGAGAAGAGGACTTAGACAACCCTGTCTTAGTTGTTAGATTGCTACAAAATTGAATGTTGGTATCTAACTTATCCAAGCACATTTAGGCCGCATGACTGTCATGTGGTTTTGTCACTCGGAGGCATTACCTTTTCATCTTCCAATTATTTATAAAACTCTTTCTTCTATAATATATACAACTCTACTTAAAAGCTTCCCTTCCCACCAAGTGCGGAGCTATTAATTACATTGTGTGTATAAGATCAATTTTTTTATATATGAGATATTGAATCCCCAGTTTTATCATTTTTTATTTTTTTAATTCTCCTGGTGAAAATCCTGCCTCCGCCTCGCACCCCTTACATCAAATCTCACATGCTTCTACAGTTTGGATTCGTTAACAGACGAACACGTTCTAACTTTATTCCTTACCAACCCTGTCGAGAACCTATGGAATTTTCTATGGATGTGCTTTCAAATAGGACAATTGAAACTCTAAAACAAGTTTAATGTCTCAAGATGCTTTGTCAACTCTTACCTTATTCTCTTTGTTTTGTCTAATATGTTGGTTGAGTCAATCTTCTTTAGTAAATCCAGTATCCAAACGGTAGAACCATTGTTTAACTGAGAGCAAAATGGGAGTGCCCTGTATAAGCCTGTTTTCTTTTATACCGTTACTGTCCGAACCAATCGCTCACTCGATTTTTCTGCTGTGTATACCTACTACCTCTCACCTGCTACATATTTTACGTAGACACCTATGGGATTCTTCAAGTTGCATGACTGCACGTGCCCAACCAACTTTGTCAGTTATTTGACATTGGTCATTGAGACAAAGTACAGAATTGCAAAGTCTCAAACCTAAAAGTTGGTTATGGAAAAAAGAGAAAGCATCATCAGTTAAAAGTCCAGAGGTGTATCTCATTTTGAAGCAAGATTCTGTTTAGGTAGGGCCTATGGCCTCCTAGTGTTTGACATGGGTGCATGCCAACTAAAGGATTTGGATTTACTGACTTTTAAACAAGGCAAACCTGTCTGGAAAAAAGTAGCTTTATTTCCATTTGATGGTCAAATAGGATGAACACCAACTACAGTATCAGGTGACACAAAGGAAAGAAAAACATAAAACAACCAAAATACCTTTTCCTTTTAGACAAGGATGGCCTCAGGTCACAGTTTTTAAAATTCTATAATCTAAACTGGGGCTTTCATGTATTGTGGCTGCTGTGTCTTTTCTTGGCAAAATAGATACTTATATAAAGTATAACAAGATAAGTAGGAGCTGAGTAGCAGTTAAAATAATCAAAATAATTCCTTCACTAGAGAAAGAAGAAAATAGCAATTCATTACTAAGATATTACATAGTACAAACTTCTAAAGCTTACCATTTATTTCAATTCTCTTATTTAACATGAAAGTACTACACTGGCAAGTGAATTACCACTAACTGCTTAGCCTTAACATTTATTAGGGTGGAATTAACCATTAACCGCGCTGGTGATGCTTAGCCTTCTCACCAGTTTTGTATACAGTTTCAACCACACTAACTGCTTTGTTGCTCTTGCAACCTAAAAGCCCACCTGGACGGGTTTTTTGACCTTCTTTCCCAACTGCATACTTGGTATTGGTGTTTTTATTGGCTGCATTAATCCTTGAAGTAGTATTAGCAGCAATGCTAATCCACTTTTCACCATAATCAGAGATAACTGATGAGTAATCAGCAGCACTTGATGTGATAACACTCCACTCAATACTGGCCTCACTTGGTGCATACTGAGTTGTAATTGGTGAGATGCAGCCAGTTGGCACATAATTATCACCCCTAGTTTGTGAATTCATGTGGCCATATCCACTACTGGATATATTCTCAATCTCGAATAAATCAGAACTAGCATCGCTAGCCATGTCATCGCCAACTGTGCCGCTTCCAATGGTTGTAATAGGGATGTCTTGAACTTTAGGAATGGCATCCCAAGTTAACATGGAGAGTTTCCTTTCTAAATTCCCTGCTATCTCTCCTTTTCGCATTTTATCAGAGCCAAACACTTCAAGTGATTTTCTTTGCTCTTCGATGCTTGGATCTTGATTTTTGACTATGCTCAACTTGTCTCTCATGGAAGGGCCAGAACTTAATGCCAACTTACTTACTTTTCCATGTCCTATGGTTTCATCCACAGAGACTGCTTTTTTGTCCAAACAAGGTCCTTGGCAACCGAAGCTAGATAAAAATCTCCTTCCTGTCATCTTTTTCTGCTTTGTTTGAGATTTACTTGTCTGAAGATTTTGTAACAGTGCACTTTGGCTATTAAAACTACTTGCTTCAGAACAAATACTTTGAGTTCCTGTCCGGCAACTGGGTTTCAGGTAGGGCAGATCAACCATCCCTTTGTTCATCTGCCCCCCATACTTCACCACAGTTGTAGGGACAGCTCCATAATCCAGTTTCATGTTGAAGTACTTATCAGCTCCGAATATGTTAAGTTCCCCATCTTTGGACTTGGTCCTTTCTTGGTATTTTGGAGTACCCACAGTCACAGAAGCCTGTTGAGGAAAAACAAATGCAATAGTAGCATCTTGAACAGGGGGGCCTATGGTCTTAAACGCAAAGTTATTATCTTCTTCAGCTTTGAGATAAGAAGAAAAAGAATCAACGCGAAGATTGGCAAGGTTATCTCGAGTACTGTTATTTGAGGGTGGTTTAATAGTAGCTCTTTCTGAACTCACAGAAAAGGCGGTCTCGGGATAAGGATCTTCATAAGCGCCCCCTAGTTTGTGTATAAAGCTCTGATCTTCAGGGTTGCTGAGGTAACAAGAAAATGATTCTACACGAAGGCTGGTTGAATTATCATTGGTTTCCATGGAAACAAAATGCTTCAGGTTTCTTTTTGTCTGATGAAAATTTTAAAGAGAGTTCGAGAGCCAGACCAGAAGCAACAATTGCTCTTATAAGTGTGGAAAGAGTTTTATGACAAGCTTTGAGACAGGAAGCAACACAACAAATTTGACTCACAAAAAAAGTAGCTTACCGACAAACAAACGATGAAAGACAGCAAAGATTGGAAAGATCATAAGCTAATGTAAAATCGAAAGGAGATCATAGACTTGCATCAAATAGCAAAAGGAAAAAGGTTGTGAATGCTATAGATCAAAATCCTGATTCAGTGATTTGAGAGAAGCTTTTGTTTTTCACTTGGTTTCTTTACAAGCAGCCCTATATAACTTGGCTCTTTCTTGGAGCCTATGGGGTTGTATAGCTTTAAGATGGTGGATCCTACATGTTTGGAGAAGCATAATATTGAGAGTCTTGTCACTTCATTCGAAATTCTCACACGACATATAATATCTGATTTTACAGTACCTCTGATGTTTTTGACTAATGATAAGATCTTCCATCTATTGACATTAACAAATTGCAGTTTAAATGGTCAGTATATCAACAAGAAAGTATGGATATGGATCCAAGTAAAATATGTAATAAATGTTAATGGGGTCTAGAAATTGGCTGCAGATAAAGAAGTGGCTCCAAAGAAAACTCAGAAAAACAAAAATAAAATTCCACCACTCATTCAAGTGAGCCCCAAAGTAGGACACCAGCATTAGCATCATAATAAATTCTGATACCTTGAAATTCTATTTCCTAATACTATATCTACTACCTTCATGATTTAGGTAGTTCAATCATTTGGTTGCTCTTTGGCTGTATCAAGATTACAGGTTGATTGTACATTAATGTTTTCTTTTGTCTGTTCTGTTAGATTTATGCCAAGTTGGCTAAGAAAGTACAGCAACAAACAATGGAAGAAAATATTGGAGCAAGTGCTTGCATCTGTATTCCTTTACTGAGTTGAATTGATTTTGAACACTCAATACGCCATTAAATTATCTGCACCAATGTTTAATAAAGAGAAGCCGAGCCACTAAATTCCGTCGGAAAAGGCTAGACTACATTGAAACTATTGTACGCAGTCTTACCTTGCAATGGCTTGATCCCGTGACTTACTGGTGACATGGTAGTAAATCTTACCGTTGCGTCAAGGCTCTCCCTCTAGGCAGCGACAGTAAGGATTCGATTGACTAAATCTCATGCGCTTTTATATTTTGTTATCCCAAAGCGCGTCTTGGCATCATAGTATCCGATAAAGAAAAGATGAATTTGAGAATATCTAAAAATTTCATAACATCAAAAGAGAGAACTTGATCTTTTACCATAAAAGTTCAATTTACTTGGCTGGAATCACAGGAAAATTGCTGAAAAGATATGATACAACCCATGAATGAACTAAAGAATTAATAACAATAATGTTAATGATAATAAGCAACAATAAAAAGGAAGCCTTGTAAGAAAATAAAACTAGCCATGAGTAACCTACTCATTTTCTATTCTGCAACTGTCAAAATGGAAAATGAGAAATGGTTACCATGACAATTATCAGAGTTCTCTGCTTCATTCATCAATCTGAACTCCAGTGGTAAAAGAATAATATTAACTCTGGCAATGAACCAAATACTGCAGCATTAGCTGCTCTGCTATTATCTGCCAAAAATGCTGCTAAGCCAATGCTATTCACTCTGAGACAGTTGAGTTGTTATCCCCTGCAACCCAGTATTTTTTAACACCAAATAGCACCTTTTCAGGGATCAGAGGACCATCCTCGTGATCCACCATTTTTATGTTCCACCTCATACCGGACGCAATTCTTTTCACTTGAGTGAGGACATCTACATGGTCTCGCAATATGACTGCACCTTCTGGTCTAAGAATCCTATCCATCTCTAGTAAAATGTCTTCAGCATTACATCTGCATTGACATGTGGCATAATTAGAAAGTTTAAGAAGATCTAACTTGAAGCACTTATTGGTTGGGTGTTCTTTATTGAATTATCATCGCTGAAACTATTCGCAGTGACAGGTATGGGTGGACATTGACTAATTGTTTTCCCCCTTGCTTTCAAATTTTCAGATGAAACATAAAAATATGGCAAACATCTCCTTTCTATATAGATGTTCCTCCTCACCCCATTATCGCAGGAAGTTGGCTCCCCTGAAGACTATTTTCTCCAGAAATTAAATGAAAAAGATCTAGCTTCACGTTACGTTACACTAAGGTGATCTGCACAAATAGAATCATTTCGCACCACTGTTTAAATTTTATTCCCATTTAAGAAATTTAAGAACAAATAGCTTCGGGGCATAATGTTGGTATACTAGTCTTGCCGGATTGGCAAAACTGACCTATTCATAAGTTATACCTTGTTCATATATGAATTAGTATAAGGAACTTACTTGTCCTTGTATAAGCTGAAAACTCCATTTGCATGAATAAGGTCATATGTCCGAGGATATGTAGAGAAGGCTTCACACCTGAATCCAAGTTGGAAAGAAGGTTAACTAAGATATATAATAGATACTTCTAGGGGAAGGCAATGTCAGAAAAGAGAAAAGTAAACTCAGATACTAGAAGGGGGGAGAGAAGGTTTAGTTTATAAATTTGCAGTTTTAGCAATCACAAACTCAAGATGTGATGCAAAATCTCCATATGTTAGAAGTCAAAACTTAAGCTACTATATAGAGTTCAAGAGAAGATGTAGGCCAGTCATGTTCTAAAAGACAAAAGAGAATGCTGATACATGCAAGCTGGTGACTGGGAATACTATCTTCGATGTTTATACGAAAGGGTATTATAATTGTATCCAGCAGCATTAAAGGTCAAAAGCACACTAAAGGACCTAGTTATTGCGAGAGTCGTAAAAGCTAACTCCAAAAGTAGATGACAGAATGGTTGGTGCAAGTCTTTCCTTCGCAGGGAAATCGAAATTCCACTTCTGTATGAAGGTATACACAGAATGCTGTTATCAGTAACATGTTCAACCTTATGCTGGCTGAGGACTTTCAATAATCATTGTAGGGAAGCAGTCATATAGGACCAGGGAAGCAGCAACTCCTTAGTGACAAAATAGTGGAAATCTGATGGCATGACAATTAACTGGTGGGAAAGAATGTAATGAGAAAGATCCGAAGGCAATTTATTTATCAGTATCGGAGTGGAAGATTCGAAGAGAGAAACGGAATAGAAGATTCAAACAGCCGACCCAACTAGTTTGGTAGTGAGGAATTCTTTGACTGATTGAATTAAAAACTTTAACCTTGGGATAATCACAGATATAGATGATGATGTGGTAGCTGCTTAATTGGACAATAATTTCTAAAAGTTCCATGCTGAGTGTTCTAATGCAATCCAAGCAAAATGAAGAAGTAAAGGAAACAATCTTTCGTATGAAATATAGCTAACAGCCAGAATGAATTATCAAACTTTTCACATGTTCGCTTTCCACAATCCACCATAAAAAAGACAAATAAAAAAAAGGTGGCAATGATGCTAGAGTTCAATGAGAAAAAAGAGAGCTTCAGAAAGTTTACCAATCATGATATATTCCAATCAAGCCTTGTTCATATATAACTCCAAGAGTGTCTTGTTCAGCTATATTTGGAACAACATTCATGACCCATAACTTGGGTGATTCAAGTGCTGCAGCAAAACTTCCTAGGCCAGCATTCATATCCAGTATATTTCGATACCTCCCACTGTCGAGGATTTTATTAACTCTCTTATAAGAATTCACATGCTTTTTCCATAACTTGTTGTCCTCCTGGAATGACTCAACAGATAATCCAGGGACAGATCCACTTGCTATTCTCGGAGGAACAGTATTAAGTCTCTGTGGGAACGGCTTAAGTTCCCCACCAGCAACTTCGTCTGAATTAGTTGTCTGAGGATAAGGAGTTACACATGCCTCCATCTTCTTATACCTAAAGCCCCCGAATATTGGTTTAATATCGAGTATTTAGAAGGCAATCAACAATCAAACGATCAAATGTATCACTAAATCAACTTATTCAAACATAAACCTCAAATTGTTGGTGGATATCCAAAATGTTACGCACTTCAGTGTTATAAAAAGTTTCTGTTTTCCATAGAACAATCATTCACCGGATATCTTTGTGGTTTCAAAATCCTTCATTTAATTAATTACTCTACAATTACTGAAGCGGAACATAAAACCATTTTTTGACATGGAAAATTCAGACCAAAATTAGCAAGTCCTTGCAGGTATTCAACTTGCTTGGACATAACGATTACAAGACATAGAACATGGCAACGAGAAGCAACATTCACATACATATATTACTGAAAACTAAATCTACCACAATGTAATCACATTGCTGTACAACTCAAAGTCAATTGTGACTTAAAGAAAGTGACTAGAATCTTAAAGCAAGTACTTGAGACTTTATCTAATATGCATTGACTGAACAAGGAGGAAGAAAGAAGACAATCTCCATCACTTTGGCTATTTGAAAATCGGAGATATTTATAGAATAATATATTATAAGGTGCAAGAATTTACCAGACATTTTCTGCATTCGAGGATTCACATAGAGTTACACGAGAATCACGTTCCCTGCAGTACTCATTGTTTACTCTTTTTCTCCATATGGCAATCTCACCTTTCTCATGCTTCTTTTCCCAGCAGAGAAGTTCAGCTATTTCTTCAATCTTTCTCTGTTCCTCCTCCAACTCCTCTTTGGGACGCTGCCACGCTTGATAATTATTCCGCCAGTTAATTGGAGGACCTGAAAGTACCCAGTAGCCCCCTGGTCTGAGCACTCGGTCGACTTCCATCATGTACTGTCCATCTGCAAAAAAGTGGAATTTTGTTAGGAAACAAAGAAACAAACTGAAGCGAAACTTTATCACTATAAGAAATCCCCAAAATACAAGCACCCAGTCATATGTCCTTGACTCCTTCCTGAGAAGATAGCTGCCCCAAGATTCCTTGCACATGTCAATTGTCCAGTTCTTGACCCATATTTTCAAAGAACTTAAAACCTTTAACCTTTTAAATTAAATCCTGAATCATAGCTTGTGTACTAACTCTTTCTTATTAATGAAGTCCTTTCTCCACCCAAAAGAACCCCAAACAAAACATCACATCGATATGAACACCGGTACAGATACTCCACGTTCAATTTGCTTGTTAGAGTTACCATTACCAAAATGAGAATTAAATATTGATTAAAAGGAAGAATATTATGGACACAAGGTAACTTTGGTTTTTCAAGATTAGCGAAACTTTTGAAAAAGATGATATTCAATACAGGATGTAATGAACAGTGAGCCGGTGATGTTATCCTGCATTTTGGTGACTAGTGCAAGAGAAGGAGCCATACATTAATACAAGCAGTACAAGGCACAATAAGGAAAGTCTGCAGAGGTACTGATCCTTACCATTTGCACCCCACGGAATCAAACAACGTGAGCAGTGAGCCATATCAAAAGCTCTAGATGGATATGGCAATTTTATGGTTCCAAGCACACCAATAACTGCTGGAACACCTCTTTCCAAAGCAAATTGAACTTGAGATTCATGTGAGTCTCTTGGTGCGAACGACATGGTTAGAACATTCTTCTTGAAAAGGTATGCACCCCAACTTGCAACCTATGATGCCATGTACCATTTACAAACATTACAAATTTCAAACTGGTATACAATCAAACACCAGCTTGATGGAAAACAGCAACAACGTTAAAAAGAAAAAGAAAAAAAAATTAAACTATACAAAGTACCACTCGTAGTCATGAACTTTAACTTGTATAAAAAAGTAAGGAATTCATGGAGTGAAACTAGATAAAGCAATGGAATATATGAAGCAAATTACTATCCGTAATGAATGATATCTGGAACTTCAAAACATTAAAGCATGATAAAAGTTAATGCAGAATATTGTGGAAAGCTTTGACTCACCCCACATCCGGTATCCAATGCAGTTCGTACTGTACCATTGTCTATTGGGATCACAGAAGCAAGTTGATCAATATATGCATCTGCTCCATTAGGGAACTGTGTACCACCACCTGGAAATCTAAATACATTGCCTTCATATTGGACCCAATTTTGCACTGCTTTCTCAACTGTTAAGCTTTTATATGGTGCATTTGCAAAAGGTACATAGTCACGACTCTTTGGCCACTGAAAAGGAGTCACATATCCTTTTGGGGCTGGAATGAGACAATGCAGTTTCTCTTCCTCCGGAGGACAGTGTCTCTCCCTATAGTTCATATTTTCTCGAGGAAATGTCATTGCTCGCATTTGATCGTGACATGGTGTGTAATCAACATATTGCTCAGCACATGGCTCAATCTGCTTGATTTCTTGGTTAGGATCATCGAATGAGCTGCTTTGATTCCCATGATGTGTTTCATACTCCAAATTGGGGAGGATGCCGCAGTCCTCTGCCTTCTTTGTTATCTCAAGAGCTATGCTATCTCCCTTCCCGAAACCGCTTCTTTGCCACACTCCTAGAAGATAGAAAAAACAACAAAGTCCAGCTACAATAAATAATGATGATAAAGGGCTTCTACTTCTGTTATCCCCTGGATTTCCTTTTGTTGCCATGGTCCACCTGGGATTGATATTCAGATTTCAGACTAATTTGGAAGTAACACTGAAGCATATCAAATGATGCTCAATGAAGTATACTTAAATGGAAAAAAATCATTAATGATATAGAAGAAGCAAGAGGCATAAAGTTGACTATTCCCTACTATTAATGAAAATATTTTTCCATGACAAATATGATCAGGCAATTAAAAGTTTCCTGCTCACACTTATTGTGTACAATGGCACAGAGAAGCTTGCGTATACCCATCTCTATGATGGTAGGACATTATACATAATTAAATTTCTCATCTACCCTCAATAATTTTTGTAGGTCATCCTAAATGGGGATATAATGCCAAAATCTAGATGCTATGTTGTGTCGAAACAGAAAATTATCCAAGTAAGTTCATTTAAAAGTGACTTTCCAATGGATAAAAGGAGAAAAGCACATGCTTTCCATCCCCAGTAGTATATTAATTGCTACCACGTTCTTCTTCTGGCTATTTTCCTTTGGGGCAACATAGTAGATGAATCCAGACAAAATTGGAATTGTTGTTTTGACTTCTCAACTTCAAGATCTCAACAAGACAAAGAAATTGAATCACATCAAACAAAGGCATAAAATCGGAGGCTAATTGAATTAATAATACACGAATCTGAATACAGGAACCAACAAATATTCACTCAGTACATACCCATCAAACTTCACAAATAAGCACTATATCTCCTATTGTCACCAATAGATAACACACACACAAAAAAGAAAGTAATCCAAGGAGAAGAAAGTTAGTAGGAAGCACAAATCATTATAATGTTGCACCTTTAATATACTTTTAGAAAAGAAAAAAAATCTTTAAATTTCCTATGCAAATACGTAGGTGCACGTAATCCGCATATAAATGCATTTGCATAACAAAAATATCTTACGAATCTCCAAAAAGCAGCAATGTTGCAGTTCCAATTTGATTAAATCATTGTATCAACGAATATAAAAACCAAGCTCTTTGTCAAAAAATGAATAACGTTAAGATTGTTCTTTGTTTTGAATTTGGTTAAGGGCAGAGAGGGGTAGGAAGGGGAAAGATAACACTTAGTTCTTTTACGTCGGATTCTGAGGAGTCACCAATTGGAGTTTGGACAATTGGACAAAACCAAATCCGATGTTTCCAATGATGGGGAGTGATTTTTGTCGTCCATAAACTAATTGTCGTGTCGATTATTAAAGAAGGAAAAAAAAACAAATTTCCCGCGAACCAGGGAATTCATGTTTTCATCTCAACCGATTATATCTTCGACTTATTTTTTTCTTAATTAAATCTAGGTAATTTATAACCCTTGGTACTAATATAATTTCTTCGTGTCCCCAAATGAGAGGGTGAATGTTAAATAATCTAATTTTCATTCGGAATTCAAATTCTTTAAATTATTGAAAATAAAAATATTTTTAGAAACTGCATTAAAATAATCAAGATCATAATATCTTATAATAAAACTTTTTGAAAATATTTTTGAAATTGCGACAGAAAAAAACTATTTGACTTCTCAAGTAGCATCAGGTGGGGTATATTTTAATTATACCTCCTTTATAGTGAAAAATTTATGCTAACTTCTATTATTAATTACTATTATAAAATTCAAGTCCCTCTCTTCTCATTTCTTCTACCTCGTGTCACTCCCGCCTCCCCAAAGTCTTTATTTTTAGAAACACAGGTATTTCATTTTATTAGTTACACACAGGAGTAACAACATGGCGTTGTAATAGCTAGTACAACCTGCTTAAGGTGTTGATATCATGTGTTTGCAGTGATAAATGAAGTATAGATAAGAAAAACTCTCACATTGCAAATTAAACTACAAATTAGACAAGTGAGGCTTGCTCAGATGGTAAAAGCACTTTCACCCACGACCGTTAGGTCCTGGGTTCGAGTCACGCTGGAAGTGAAGTGTGAAAACACTATCGATCCTCCTAACTTGGGAGAGGTTTAAAAAAAAAAACTACAAATTAGACCATTTGGATAACAGTGCGCTGACAGTCCACATAAGTTATAAATACTTATAATAGTGGAGTAGTATTGCTTGAAAACACAAAGTTGCTCCAAAATCCTGCAAGTTTCATTGGCCTTTGATAGTTTTCCCCGTCAATAGACTATATATAATGTGTAAAACGTTTGACTAATGACTAGAGTGGCTCATTAGGCCTTCGCTATTAGAAAAGGTTAATCGCGGAATTGGTTGAAAGTATAAGTACCTATATTATATAGGGGTTCCCCTGTCACTGCCAGCATCCGAGCAACAACCGTCACAACTCAGATTAAGAGAAAATGCAAGAGGCGAACAAGCTAATTCTTCTAGGAAATGATAGCATCCCCTATTCAAAGAGAGTTGAACTTGCTCTCAAGATCAAAGGCGTACCTTTCGAGCTTGAGCAACAAGAGTCCATTGCTTCTCCAACACAACCCAGTTCTCAAAAGAGTACCCGCGATTCACAACCCAGTAGAGCTACTCTGGAATCACTTGTCATCATTGAATATATTGACCAAACTTGGAAGCAAGAACCAAAATTCTTGACAGAAGATCCCAATGAAAGAGCCAGAGTTCGTTTCCTGACTGGTTGTGGTTTTACAAGATCTTTCCCTTGTAGATTTTGTTCATTTGTGCTCTCCAGATTTTCAGTTGTTTGACAGCATATCCAAGATCATGGTTACCCAGGAGAAAGCGTGTGAGAAAGATTAGTCGTGCTGGAAGAAGGAATGGGAATTATCTTCACGAAATCCATGGGGAAGATCGAGGTGTTGTAGGTTGCAACACTATATGCTTTGCTTTCAAGGCTCAAGAAAAGGTCCTTGGCCTGAAGATTCTGCACCAGAAAAGAGTCCCTACTCATATATACCTGGGTGACAAACTATAGTGAAACAAGTTATCCCTCCCCATGATAACTTGCTTTCATTTATCAAGTTTTTTAGGGAAAGCATAGTCGAAGTGCCAAGTAATTAAGCACAGTATAGTTTTCAGATACAGCAAGCCAATTAATTAAGTTGCCGAACAAACATCAATGTCTCTAATTTCACTGCTCTAGATGGTATACTTTAGAAGAAAAGTCCAGGACCTAGATATTTGGATGGACCATTATAAATGTGTATCAGGTCAATCACAAAATCACCATATGGTTGCCACCTTTGTATTTAATCCATGGCCTCTACAAATTTACCCTTCTGAATCAGAGCATTGTACCTTAAATCCTTTAACTTAATCAGAGTATTACAACAGCATGCAATGTTTATCCTCACAATATCAATAAACCCAGTTTTGGATTCACTTGCAACTAGGATCACTAAAGCAATGCATACATACTGGCCCTAGTTGCAGCTTCATGAATAACAACAATCAAACAAGAGATAGACCGCCATCAACCGAGAAGCAAGCACAATGACCTCCCAATATTCAGACAATGCTTACACTACTACTTGCTTTTGGCACATTTCTTTCACCATCAACTGAGCTGCTCATAACAATGACTCAACTAGCAAGATGAAACCGTTGTGTGATATATTAGGTAAATTAAGACAAGATTGACAACTCAATTTATATAGAATGGGGAAT